CCTAAAACTAAGTTTGGCGTCATCTCAACCCTGATCAAGCACGCTAAGAACATTGCACCAGCAGCCATGACCTAGAACATGAGCGGAACCACCTACAACATGTCTTCACGAGCCTTAACCAGTAATCCACCAACACATAGTCTGTTTGATTTCATTTGAGACCAATGAATTGCTCACTAACACAAAATCTAATAATTGCAACAAAACCAAATTTTGCAGTCACATGAAAACGACAGACCAATGAAGAACTAATCAAACTATAGACTATCAAAGCACCCTATCAGCTTGTTGTTACACCTGAATCCCCCCTTGTTTATTGGCTTCATCACCATTCCATTTGTTGTTCTTAGTCCCCATCTGGCCTCTCCCAATAATGTACCAGTTGTTATTCAATTACATGTTGTTGTTAATGTTAATCTGCTGATTGTCAAAACATACTACACATATACTTCTCATCATTTGGTTTTAGCTTGATAACAGTGTAAGAATCTACATCCAAACGTCACTCTGTGCAATAAACAAGAAGTTTTCAATCATTAAGTTGTATGTTTCAATAAAACATAAGGTCAAATACTATGTCCTTTTACGATAGTTCTCATGTCTAAAATTATGATATCTGACAGTTTCATGAAAATTTTGGGTTGTTTTTTTCAGGAGCAGTTCGAAAAACCTGTCAGCGGCTACAGCCAAAAGACCTAAGACAAGAATATTTTCAAGAAATACAATAATGTTCAAATAACAATGAAAAAAAGAATTAAATAGTTCACTTGATTAACTTGTGTTGTTTATATATGTTTCTGATTGCAGAGGTCAGGAAAGAGCTAAATGTTGAAATACAGTTGTGCCAACATAAGGCCAACTAAATCACATCGTTGGGCCAAGTATGGGCCATGGTTTAGTACAAAGGTCAAGAAAGAGCTAAATGTTGTAACACGGTGGTGCCAACATAAGGCCAACAAAATCACTACGTTGGGCAAACTATGGGCCATGGTTTTGTGTGAATTTTCATTCGTTGGCCCAACAATGAGCCAACATGATGGGCCACTGTGGAGCCGATGAGCATATCCAAGTGGGCCCATCGTCAGGTTGACAACCATGGGCCAACCAAACCGGTGATTATGGGCCAACTATGGGCCAACATATCATTGCTATCTGGGTATGTGTCAATTTTCGTTTCATACCCATTGCAGCAGAGCACAAAGCATCTGCAATATATTCTATACTCTGATTGATATCACTAAAGGCTGTATCTAAACATTTATCGAGTAAGTCCTGCACACTATCTGAGAACATATTTTGTCTAAACTCATCCGATTTTTCTTCATTCCAAACAAACTTATAACTATGATTCAAATCTTCTTTTATTACATCATATTCCCGCTTGTGTGTTGTAACCAATTTCATCGTGACTGGGAGGTGCGTGGACTCTGTGCGAGATTGTATATTGAAGTCAGTACAAGACGAGAACAGACATGATGATGCAATAATATAATCAATTACGCTGGCCCCCATTGACCCAAGAAATGTAAAATCTCCAATATTTTTGTCTGCTCCGCATCTCCCATTCATGATATGGATATTCAAAACAGCACATAATTCTATCAAAGATTGTCCAAATGAATTAACAGTTTTGTCGACGGAGAATCTTGCGAGGTTAAATTGATCTACTAGAAATTTCCAATTTGACGTGTCTGTTTCTATATATTCAAGTATATCATCCTCAATAAAGTCCGGGTCATTTCCTGTTCTTGCATTGAAATCTCCGCCACACAAAACAGATGCATCTGGATGATCTGACAATATATCTACTAGATTTTCCTGTAACAACTGAATCCCGTTTTTACGATGTACGTTTGTCTTTTCATACCAGGTTGACCCCTCAGGGTGTACATATACACAGGAATACAACAGATCTTTATCGTTACCTAATGTTTTATCAAATAAAATGTTAACTGCATTTTCAGTAAGTTTACACCATTTATATATAGTGTCTAAGACATTTTCTAACTAGCACAACTATGCCACCTGATAATCTGCCGCGGTGAGATAACTTATCTGCAGGTTTCGTGAACGTGACATAGTCATCAAATATATTATCAACATCACAATCATTCATCCATGTTTCGGTAAGTCCGATAATCTCAAATGTTTTGATATACATAAGGAACTCATTATCGGATAATTTAGATGATAAGCCAGACACATTCCAAAATAGGAATGACTGATGATAAAACTCATCAGGTGACGCGGTTGACTGAGCAGAGGGTGAGTGATGCGCCGTACAATCACTGGGTGGATCAGTGTCAGTAGTTAGACCCTGGCCACACCCCTATTGGTACCGACCACGTCTAGAGTGAGACCTGAGGTTTCTTGAGATACCACCCCCAGCCTGTGGTCCCGTGGGTAGCTCGTCATCGCTCTCACCTCCTGCAGGTGACGCGGTTGACTGAGCAGAGGGTGAGTGATGCGCCGTACAATCACTGGGTGGATCAGTGTCAGTAGTTAGACCCTGGCCACACCCCTATTAGTACCGACCACGTCTAGAGTGAGACCTGAGGTTTCTTGAGATACCACCCCCAGCCTGTGGTCCCGTGGGTAGCTCCTCATCGCTCTCACCTCCTGCACCCCCTGGGGCACTCTCCAACTCACCCCTAGGCTGACTCAGCAGTTTATTACCCTTGTAATAGTACCTGTTATCAGGGTCACTCTGTCTCAGTCTATCAAGCTCCTGTTTCTGGAAAAGGGTTAGGTCGTTAGCAATACCAATTTTCACGTCTCTGAGGACATCACGCAGTTTGACTGACCTCCACTTGTCCTCCCAGTGACACACGCGCACGATCATAGGTCTTGTCTTATTTGAGCTCTTACCTAAACGATGTGCTCTCTCTATGTCACGTGCATCAAGTGGGGACATATCTTTCACTTTCCTGGCGTTATTAAGTACTTCCAGTACTTTACGTTTACTCTCTGTGTAAGTCTCCTTAGGCATCTCCTCAATATCATATAGAATCATGTTGTTTCTCCTCCCCCGTCTCTCCTGGTCCTCCATCCGGAACTCTATGTGCTCAACATAACTCTCCAGGTTGTCATGTTTCTCATTCAGTTTATCTATATCTGATCTCCTCCCGGTCTTTCTTGCCCTTTTCCACCTCACGTCTGACATCTACAATCTCTGCTCTTATAGATTGTACGTCCGCGCTAATTTCTTTGATTTCACCTGGTGCAACATCCGATGAGGCGATTGATTTGTCTACCATACAGCTTTCAATGTATTGTATTGAATGAATTTTGTGTGTGTGGAGTTTTGACTACAGATTCATCAGAAAGCCACTCCGATGCTCCGATCTCATTTGCATATCACATTGGAATCTATCAGGGTTGGAAACAAACCTGTCTGTGCTGGAATCTAGTGTTGGGAATTGGTTAAATCTCATAATTGATGATTGCTTCATTACAACCAATCAATCATCGAATATAATTGGTTAGCATCATTTATCAAATTTTCCTGGTTATGTTTGTTAATGCACAAACAATAGAGAAACAAACATGTATTTCTTTTTTGCAAATTGCACAAAATGCATTTGCAAATTTCACATCCTTACATGATGATTAGTATGTTCTATAAGATAAATTCAATCATGACTTGGCACAAGCTTGTAGTGCTTATGAAATGTAACAGACAAAACCAACCTTCTGAAAAATATTGTTTATGCAAACATGTGTTCCATATCTTCCAAAATTGTTTGTGTTCGATTATGAGAAAACATGATCGATTGCTTGGTCGTTTAGTCGCCTCGACCAATCTTTGATTATTTCAATTAATCGGATCACCACTACTGGAATCACAACAACATCTGCTGCTTACATGAGCTGATTGATGCACAAGTAGTTGTACCCACTGCTTAGCTGGGTCATCAAAGGGATTTCATCGTCATTTTGGGATGACCGTACATGTTACTGTTCAAATCAATGCTTCACAGAAAGCATCATAGCCAGAATACAAGAATAGAAACATTGCCGCCTCTGAATGGTCAGAGATAGTTTGCAGATGAATAAAAATGAAACATCAACAACTAGAATTGGTGACACCCAGGGCAAGGAATGCATTGCCTCTTCACTAGATTTAAAGATCAACAGAACAAGTTTACAGTTCCTTCTTGTGACCTAAACATAATTCAGAAACATTCTCCCAGCATAATAGAACAATGTCTAATCTACCATCACTGTATATCACTTTGTCATTAACCAGAACTGCGCAATGAGAGCATTGATTCTCAAAGGCTACAAAGCACATGAATTCAGAACCATTGCATCCATGCTAGCGCTACATGGCAACTGCTCCATCACATCCATTAGGGAAGGTTTAAAAATTGCTTTCCTATTTCACTTCAGTTTGGGATGTACATCAGTCTAGCAGTTAGCATTATTCATAAATAATACTTAATTTATCAGAGACTAATATCTTTGAATGGTATCTTCCCCAAAGTTCTACAAGTTACAACAACAAACTTCATTTGTCTTGTTGAATCTAACATGCAGAGAAAGAGGTGCACCATTCATCTCGGTTGCCCTGTGCCAGAATCCTGTGATCAGGGGTTTTAATCCCAGATTTTATAGTTCGAAATTATAACTTGTTTTTAGTCATGATATGTCTGAAATATTGTAATGTTAAATTTTAACTCACTTACTAATCCCAGATTTGCCCTGACGAGGCTTGTTTGTGAGCAACATGCCAGTGGTCAGTCATATCGACCAAAGTGGTCAAAATCAGTGGTTGTATTTTTTTTCTTCAAAATATTAAGTCAATCTTCACCAATTTGTATATTGTTCCTTAAGGTTGACAGATTGAATTTGGGAGAAGAAAATATATGTGAAACATGGGTACTCTTTGTTTGTGTGTTCATCATACTCTCTGAACATCTAGACGAAGCCTGAACTATTGAAGTTGGTCAGTTTGCCCATTCATGGTTGACCAGTACAGTTTATTTCTGAACTTGCAGATGATGTCATTGGGTCAGTTACCATCAACAGTGTGATAGAATAAAGAAGAGCCAGTACTTTCACCGGGGAGTTATGGGAGACCCAACATCAGGTTACCATGGTGTTGACCCTAATGTGTTGGAGCGGGATGCAGGAATATATGCACATCAGGCTGTCCAGTTTGACCAAGCTGGGAACTATGAGACAGCCAAGTTTTATTACACAGTAAGTTTGTACCATGTCCACAGCTAGCAGTTTAAGACACTTCAACATGTTAATCCTTCATAAATTCTTATGGAGTAGGAGTATTTTCACTAAATGTTCCAATTGTTATTAAGAACCTACTACTAAAGATTTAGTGGCTATTACAACTTTTGTATAGACCAGTGGATCAAATCAACTGACAGACACACATGCTTTGGACACACTATCACTGTGACCTGAAATGTATTTCCTAGAGACATTCATGTTTGATTTGTTGTTTCTTTTACACAAGTTATTGACAAGTGTCTGCATATTTTCATGCTGCATTAGATATGTAGAGCTGTTTGAAAGTGGAAAAAAATAGTCTATGATCTCTTGATCATTACAATTTCATTTATAATACAATGTATCTGATGATATATTTCATTCGATGTTTTGATGCAATGATATGAAGGAGATATTTTAGAGAAGGACTCCGAAACCTGTGTTGCAGGAAGCGGCCCAGGCTCTTCTGTCTGCGGCCCTTGGGGGCTCAGATAGCCCTCGCAACCAAGTCATACTAGACAAGGCTAATGAGTACATGCTGCGAGCTGAAGTGCTCAAACAGTCAGGTGAGTACAAGAACAATGTTTATGCCATATTAACAAACAAGTTATGTTTTATTTTCACATGGGCGGGATAGTTCTGATGATAGTCTTCCCATTGTGTTGGCAGTGGACACATTTGGATAGAGAGTTTTTCCAAAACGGAAATAATACATGTTGAGGTTGAGAGTTGAGGTGGAGAGTATTCCTACAGTGAAGACAATACACATATTGAGGTTAAGCGATAGATAGATAGATATTCTTTATTTCCTCCATAAAATGAAGATTACATATAAATGACAAACAACAGTACTTATATTATACAGTAATATTCCATTGTGTAGGTAGTTATGCACATTGTCGGAGTATGCTCTCCCAACTGTGAACTGAGGAACTAATGATTCCCATCAGTTCTGACCAGATGTTATGATCCAATACATCTTTACAGTGGTCAGATATACATCCAAGGAGGAATGACAGGAATACATCATCATCTTCCATCCACATTTTAACAAAAATGTCTATGTCAAGGATGCCACAGATTCTTTCAAATAGTAATTCTTTCTACTAGGTTACACTGGCATGACATAGAAACATGTTTCATAATGTCGTGAGCAACTGTTCCGCATAGACCTTCCTTTGATTCTATTGGAGTTGCACCAAGCCATATAATTCTCACAATGTCAGTGAGGTTCTGAGGTCGTTCTAAAGCGAGTATCTATAGTCTATGTTCTCGTCCTGATCTTATTGTTAGATATCTGGAGAGGGACAACCTTGTCTGCAGTACATTTACCAACTGCATTTGATCCTATGTAGTTACCTTATCTTTGACTAGTTGCGACCAAGCATTTTTCTTCATAAACTTAGAACCACAAATGTAGTTATGGATTTCACTAAGCAGATTGTATTTGGAAACAAGCCGTAACGTGTTTAAACAGGTGATTTCATATTTGTATTTTTTACAGCGGTATTGACTGAAACATTTATTAAAGCTGTATATTGTGTTAGCATTACAGAGTTTACCAAGGAGTAAGAGGCTTTGTTGATCTATATATCCTTGTAGGGATGTTATACTGACTGTATCTCTTACAATGTCATTTGGCATATACTTATTAAAGCCTTGGACTTCCTTACAGAAGTAGCAGTGGATGATTTCTAGCATTTCATATTCTTTAAATAATGGAGTGAGTGAGTGAGTTTTATTTTTCGCCATACTCAGCAATATTCCAGCTATATGGCGGCGGTATGTAATTAATCAAGTCTGGACCAGACAGTCCAGTGATCAACAGCATGAGCATCGATCTGCGCAATTGGGAACCGATAACATGTGTCAACCAAGTCAGCGAGCCTGACCACCCGATCCCGTTAGTTGCCTCTTACGACAAGCGTGGGTTACTGAAGATCAATATTCGTTAATGGGCAATTTGGCCCAGACTGTACATCCATACAGACCTCAAGGTCACCCGATTCCAAATATGTACAGCCACTTCAGGATTGACAAGTAAATCTGTCCATGTGAAAGGAGCACATCCATTCTGGAGTACCGAGAAACATGTACAATACGATAATTGCTGTGTGTCAATTTCAGTGGCCAGTCAGACACCCACCCAGAGAACACAGCCCCTTGGCAGAAGTCAACAACAGGTACAGTCCTGTCACACAGCCCCACTGGCTCATTCTTTATGTCAGGTTTCAAACATGCTATTTTAAACCTATTGAATAATACAAATGTTTTCATACATTGTTTCCTTTTCATACAAACCTAGAGACTTAGAATAAAACTTTTCCAAGGATGGATTACCTACATATATTCGCCTGCCCAAGTCACTAGAATGTGTATGAGTGAGTGTGTGGTTGGAATGAATATCAGAGTGAGTGACTGAGCGAGTCTGGTTTGAACAGTCTGTCTCTGCGTGGCAGCTTGATATGGAGGAAAGCCTGTAGTGACAAAGGTCTTTGATGGCATGGGCAGGGTGCTGGCATAACCATGGTCAACTGGGATTCAAACCCAAGATCATAACTCTGCACAGGGGTCTCAAGGGACACAAGATACTCTATTGAATGGCTTGGGTACATTAAATTTTGCACATCTCAGTTTGATAAAAAATAGATGAGTTCCAAGTGAAAACTCATGTTATGTACATAATTTTTAAACTTATCCTATCTCACGGTATGCACCTCTCTTCTTCTTCTACGACCATGTGTGGAAACGTGCTGTAGGCTAAGTTGAATCAAATTTTACTGGCCTCTGACCCCCCTGACCTCTGCCCCCACTCCGACATCAGCACCTGTCAATCATCTCCATATGCGTGCAGCTCACTCAGATGATCACGTGACTACCTGTGCCTGTCATTCTCTTTCTTGTCGCTACGCCGTGTGGCCGTGTGCTTGTCTCTAAGAAAGTTTGATTGTTGTTTCATCAGGGTAAATCGAATCGTAATGGTTCTAAGAAGCGCAAACATTGTTTAGGTCGTTGTTTAGGTCGTTGTGATTGGTCTCAACGTTGCACTTTTTGTGCTGGCCTCGACGACGATGCTTTCTCTGAATATCGCCGGGTAGCTTGTAGACACATGTCAGATAGGGATCGTCGCAAAACATCTGAGGGTCTGTCTGCATCTAAACGTCCTAAGGCAGAACACCATAAGAAAACTGCAGTTCGACGTTCGAAGTCTCCTAATGAAGATTTCCTAGGGGAAGCGTCTGATTCTTACCTCAGTGAAAATCTGCGTCGACCTTTCCGTCCACATGCATCAAGCCCTATCACTTTAGAAGACTCCTCACCACCTAGGGTTGTCGTTTTATCTACATCTGCTGTTCAGCCCCGTCCGTCTTTCGTGGTAACTGTTCCTCAACGCCCTTATGTTCCTTTGGTGGGAGTTTCTCATGCAGCGCTTGGGGTGATTCCTAACATTACCTCTCAAGCGACGCTTGCTTGTAGTTCGGCGCTTTCCACTTCGATGGTTGGTTCTACATTTACTTCCCATTCGGTGCTTGTGTCTCATGTGACACTTGGTTCTGGTACAGTGGATAGTTTCAGTTCTGCGCTTTCTCATCCTCCGGTGGAGTCGACAAGTTTGCCGATGATTCCCAGTGCGACTTTTTCCACATCTATCCCTTATCCTGTACCATTTGGTTACGGACCACCACTTTATTCCAGTGCGTCGTTTACCTCCGAAGCACCGCTTACATCGGGACAGGTACCTGGTTGCAGAGCGCCACTTGGTCCTGATTCCACGCTTTCATTTAGAGCGCCACTTGTTTCCAGTTCGGCGCTCTTGGTTGCCCCTGGTTCGGCACTTACTCACAGTGATCCCGTTTTGGCGCTTAGTGTATCCAGTTTGGTGCTTCCTCATAGAGCACTGGCTTCAGTGCTTCCTCAGTGCATTCGGTTTGGCGCTTACTCAGAACTCAGCGCTTACTTCCAATGTGTCTGGTTCGGCGCTTGGTACACTCAACTCAGCTGTTGCTTTCAATGCGTCGCTTGCTACCTGTTCGGCGCTTGTTTCTTCTGCTACATTGATTCCCGGTGCCCTGCTTATTCCCAGTGCTACGCTTAGTACAATTTGTGTTTCCTATGCGTCTTCAGTGGTGGGAGCTCCACATTCCATGAGTACTACTGTTTCTTCCTGTGAAACCGTCACAGCGGGTTTTGGTTTACCACCTAGAGCGGCGAGTGTGAGGGACCCTACGCCTTCATCGTTTCATCACAGGAACTTGTATCAGTCAGCTGGTTGCTCGTCTTCTCTTAGTGGGACGCCTCGTCATCCCTCGTTATCTGCTCCTGTTTCGTCTTTGCCTCCTCCAACGGGGCCTATGGCGAGACCTATTTCACCGGTTTCCTGGAATCCGGGGTCTGAGGGTCTGACTTCACAACCTGTTGATTTTGACGCTATTGTGCAAGCGGTAGCCCCGGCTTTACGGCATCAGACTCCAGCATCTTACTCTGCTATTCAGTCTTCTGGCCGTACGTCTGCTCCATCTCCCGCTTCAGATGGTACGTCCCCTTCAGATGTTAGCGTTGATGCTGTTGACACACCTCAATTGTTAGTTTGGATTGCCAATAGCCTCCGACTACAGCGTAGTAGTTCGCCTTCGGATTTGTTATCCAATTTTGATATGAAGACAGGTGATTTTGGTTCTATCACCTTTCCGCCTCGCCCTTGCATCACTCAATTGGCAGCGTCTCTGGATGAGGTGTTTGGTAACCTGAGGAAGGTTAAGGATGGGTTCGCGGCTCCCCGCTTCAATTTAGCATCTGCTCATGTTCATGTTTTTTCTACGCTGATCGTGTCCCCTCTGGTGGATGATGATGTTATGTTGTTGGGAACCAAACAGAAAGCCTACTCGCCGTACCTGGTCGAGGATCGTGAGCTCTTGCATTTGGATAGTGTCATAAGGAAGATTATGGCGCCACTCAACGACAACTGAGGCGGTGGCTATGTCGGTTGCACATGCAACGTCCCATCAACAGGCGTATATTCGGGTGGCAATAGTGCTATTACAAGAACAATTTCAGACCATTTTGGATCATGCAGCTGTGGTGATCAATATATTGGCGAGACTCTCAGGCCCATTAACACCCGGGTTGCTGAACACAAGTCATCAGTATGCAAACAAAATGATAAGTCAGCTATATCGGAGCACAAGGCAAATAACCCAAGTCATGTAATCATGTGGAACGATATTAGGGTGATTTCGAGAAATAACAATGACTGGCGTCGGAGAAAACTACAGGAAGCTGTCGAGATAAGGAGACATAAACCAGCAATGAATCGTGATCAAGGTGTATACCTGCCAAGTGCATGGGACCTCTTGATTAACTTTTGATGAACTTTTGATGAACTTTAGATACAAGAAAAAACGAGTCTACTATTCTTTTTGGAAAGCCTGCTATCAAGGAACCTTTGTGTTATTAGCAGTTGTTGTGTATTAGCATGAATTTCATCATTATGTAATTAACTCTTCAAACTCACTTATACAGTACTCTCCCTAGTGTACTGTGATGTCACTTGCATTGTGACGTCATAACTCAGTTATGACGTCATAGTGACGACGTCATAGTCCTAACTGCCAGTTCACCTGATGAAGGGACCTGGAATGGTCTCGAAACGTTGTGAGAGAAATTAAAAAAGAAGTTTAACCCATAAAAATATCTTGGACATCAATGTACAACTTCTAAATGCCACTGAAAGACATCATTTTGGATCAGTTGGCTCACTTCTTTTCGTATGTCACAGCTGTGCGTCGCAGGGGGCCTCTGCACTTATCCCCATGGGAGGATAGGTTCCGAACTGATCTTTTACGTCAGCCATGGTTTGGCAGGTCACTTTTTAACAGGGCGATTAGAGATGTCGCCACCAGAGTTGGTCAAGATGTTCATTTACAAGTGTCAGTGGAATTGTTGAAATTCCAACGTTTGCAGGGGGAGGACTCACTGCGCCAGCGACGGCCAGCTCGTTATGTTCCTTCCAATCCGGACCTTCGTTCGGGTTCTGCTGCTTCCTTTCGTGGAAAGGGTTCCGGCAGAGGACGTTCCAGTCGTCAGCGTCGGGCATTCACTGCTTCACAACGAGCTTCCACTTCCGACCAGTCCTCCTATCATGGAATAATAATTCATACAAAATTCATTATTCATTATTACCACTACAAGCAATATATTAGGATTCAGATATTAGGAAAATATAAATATAGAATATTAGTAATAGCTTAGAGAAAGACTCCAGTCATAAGTTGTAAAACTCATCTCACAGACATACTATTGAAAAAGGTATAAATTACGGCTACACAATTTCACAGATATTCAAGATAAAATCCTAGCCTAAGGTATTGAGGACTCAAGCTGTTAGCAACCCTTTCAGTAATTCAGAGTTATGACCAGATGATTAAATGAACTACTTTCATAAAGTAAACATGTCATCATCTATATTACAAGACTTTAAGCAAACACCAATTAAGGGTTATAAAGACATGGCCCACAGTAAATGCATCTATTGTAATCCAAGCACCTATAATTGACACATCAGATTAGGCTCGTTAAGATCTAGCCCAGGGTAAGCATCCAAGCATCCAGTAAAAGTGCCATCGAGATTAGTGCCTGTTAAAATAGGATTAACAGGATTAAGATTAATTGCCCTGTCTGGTCATTGAAGGACACACCCCATTTTGTATATTCTGTATTTGATAGGCTAATGTAGGTTACTTCCATTTTTGTATCAGTGAACCAATCGTAATCTCTTTATTGTTTTAATTGTAGATAAAAAGTCTCTAACTGCATTTGTCCAGCAGTAGGGTTTAGACTCCCAACACAGGTAAGCTCTAGTCCTCAGCCCAGAGGGTTGTACCGACTCTCTGTGGCCACCCCATGTTACTTTGTTCTTGTAAATAAAAGTGTGATTAGTTTCTTGTGACTTCGGACTCTTTTGCTGAGTTAATTCTCCCAAGCAGACCAGCACGCCAGTTAGATAAGGTGTTTCACCGGAACCATCACTTGGACCCAAGACCCTTACCATAATACTCCTCTCAAAGACCTGACAAACAGTGACTTGCTGACATTAGAGTGCGACTGGGTTCTTCCTCCTCCAGTCATGCCCATCCAGACCTCCCCAGTAGGCGAAAAGACTTGGGACTTATGCTCCCAATTGGACCATCTTGGGCGACCCTTACGTCCTCTCCACGTTGTCCAAGGGGTTTAAGCTGCTGATCATGGGGGATCCTCCTCTTACTTTGCTTCTGGATCACAGAACGTATCCCGCTCAGCCAACGGCTGTTCTTCGATCCACAATAGACACCTTACTCCAGAAACTTGTGATCGAATCCCTGGGTCCGGCCCCGATCGACCCGGGGTTCTATTCTCCAATCTTTCTGGTTCCCAAGAAGGATTCGGACAAGTTGAGACTAATTTTCAACATGAAGGTCTTCAACGAGATGTTTCTGCAGCCTCCGCCCCATTTTCGCATGTTGTCGGTGGCCCTACTCAAGACCATTATCAAACTGGGAGACTACATGGTCAGTCTCGATCTCCAGGATGCGTATCTTCACATCCCGATCTTCCCGGCTCATCGCAAGTTCCTTCGGTTTGTCTTCGAGGGCACCCACTATCAGTGGCGTGTCCTCCCGTTTGGAATTTCTTCGGCCCTGTGGCTGTTTACACGGGTGACGAAGCCTATCACCAGCTTCCTCCACCGCAAGGGGATAGTTTTCGAAGCTTACTTCAACGACTGCATTCAGGCGCAGACGGATCACGCCCTTCTGCTTCGTCACATGCAGTTTGCGATACAGCTTCTTCACCAATTAGGCTGGTTAATCAATCTGCAGAAATCGGAACTAGTCCCCACGCGCCGTCTTCAATTCATTGGAGCAGTGTTCGACACAGAGGTTAACAAACTGTTTGTCCCGAGGGATCGTTTCTGCAAGATACAGCCCTTGGTGTCCCTTGCATTGGCACAACCCAGGACGCTTAGTCAATGGCAGGAGTTCCTGGGCCTCTTGACGTCGGCTCAGGCACTGACCCTCAGGGCTCAACTGTGACTTCGACCCTTGCAGCTCTTTCTAGCGCCTTACATCAGAGTGGGCGATCCGGTTGCCTTGATCGCTCTACCTCCGGAGCTCCATCCCCATCTCCTGTGGTGGATGGAAGAGTTGAACGTTTGCGGCGGAGTTGCTTAGGGCCGTTTGTTCCATCTCACCACCTGTATGTGGCGCGTCTCAACACGGGTGGGGAGCTCATCTTCTCAATCAGCAAGTGTCAGGGCAGTGGTCTCTCGCAGATCGTGCCTGTCACATCAACGTTCTGGAGTTCAGGGCAGTGATTCTTTCAATCATTCACTGGCAAGATGTCCTACGAGCAACTTCCTCATGGTCTGATCGGACAACGCAGCAGTGGTATGGCATATCAACAGGATGGGGTCAACGGGGTCTACTCAGATCCTGCAGTGGACTCAACAGTTCTTCGACCTGGTGGACATCTCTGTGCGAGCCAACCACATTCCGGGGGTGGAGAATGTCATCGCGGATTTCCTGTCCCATCCGAGTCGTCCCTCTCCAACGGAATAGAAATTACATCCTCAGGCGTTTCAGACCTTCTGCCTTCTGTTGACGCCGTTGACAGTGGATCTACCATCAGCTGCCTCTGTTTGTGTCACCGATTCCAGACCTTCTGGCTTGGTATCACGATGCTCTAGCCATTCTGTGGGACGACCTGAACACTTACGTGTTTCCGCCAGTGGCCCTTCTTCCTCGCATACTAGTGAAACTGCACGCAACTCAGTGGATTACACTACTTTTGGTCGTGCCCTACTGGCCGGCCAGAAGTTGGTTCGTTAATCTTCAAGAACTAGCCAAACCAAATCCTGTACCGCTTCCCGATCGGCTCGATCTACTGGTTCATCCGCACTCCGACCAGCTACATTGGTCCCCGATCATGCTCCATCTTTATGCTTGGCGCATGTATATTGGTCGCTAACAGCCAAGGGCTATTCGAAGCGTGTTGCTACTGCTATCACTACAGTGCATCACACCTCCACTAGGTCACTCTACGATGACAAGTGGAAGAATTTTGAAGCGTATTGCAGGAAGAAGGGCATAACATCTCCCACTACAGCATCCCCGCAGATGGTAGCAGAGTACCTTCAGCATCTTCGAACCTCCAGAAAACTCAAAGGTTCTACGCTATCTACTTACCTGGCTGCCCTTAACACAGTTATTGCGTCAGCCTCGGGTGTGAAGGTGTCCACTGTCCCTGATTTCCAGTCTCTCCTCATGTCTTATAAACTTGCTGACCAATCCTTGAAGTTCCGGCCTCCAGCATGGGATCTTTCCGTTGTGCCTGCTCATTTCACGTCAGCTGATTATGAACCTCTGGAGGAGAAAGATTTCGAGCAGGATTGCCGCAGACTGCGTAAGAGATTGTTCATTCCATTATCTACTGCCTCCGCCTCAGAAGTCTCACGCACTACCTTGGCATTTTGGATGAGAACTACGATCCTGCGTGCTTATGCCTTTGCTGACCTGCCTGCACCGTCGACAGCGAAGCTTCATGAAACTTGGGCTCTCGCTTCCACCATGGCGCTTCACAGGAATTGTTCCCTCCAGTCCATCATGGAGGGATGTTTTTGGATATCAGATACTGTGTTCACCTCACACTACCTGTGGGATCTCTCGGTTACAGACGTGGAAGGTCTACATCAATTCGGCCCCCTGGTCCTGGCACAGCAATTGTCATCGGCCCACGTTCGCAGATAAAGCAATCCATCTTTGGTCGGTTTTGCTCTGTACATAATAAAAGATATCGATGTAATCCATGTCTTGGTACTTTTTTCATTTGGGCTCAGATCATTCTCACCTATGGGACTAGGGCGTGTTTGCACTGTCATAAGTTATGGCTTGATAGACTGTGAGGCAAGTCTTGTGCTACATGCAGAGATGGTCGACATTCCGCTTACTGACCTCTACTCTTTGAGAAATTACGTCAGTGAAGTGTTGATTTCCGATTACCTACATGGTTTTTGAAGCGTTCTGCTCCTAAGTCCATTCTCACCTTTGGTAAGTTAGGGGGATTGGTAATGAACGTTAAACTAGTTGAGCAACCGGGCTATTCCCTCTTTCACGGCCATCCAGCGTGTGTCTGTTGGGGGGTAGTTTCGAACCAGGAACTGGCCAGATTAAGGTCTTCGAATTTAATTCACTGGGGTCACCTGATAAATCGCGGGGCGGCGGGGCCTACTTGCCAAACTGAGTCCTTTTGCTTGTCAAAAGTTGCGGCTGAAGACCACATTAATTCGGGAGCGCCCACTCCCTAGAGTTTTTGTGCTGTGTAAGCCAAGGGGTTACCTGAAGAAACCCATCACAAGTTTGGAGTTTGCATATCAGGAGTTGGTGCTTTCTCCTGGCCTCCTTGGGTTATGCGTCTTCACGGTTGTAAGTATTGACAGGGTAATCTGCGGCCCTCCTACCAACCATGGGATTATGCATACTGTGAGATAGGATAAGTTTAAAAATTTGAAAATTTTACTATAAATTGTATATTTAAATACTTATCCTATCTCACACAATGGATACCCACCCGACCTGCCCCATATCACAGATTACTGGAAGCTCCAAGATGAGAATGACAGGCACAGGTAGTCACGTGAACATTTCAGCGAGCTGCACGCATATGGAGATGATTGACAGGTGCTGATATCGGAGTGGGGGCAGAGGTCAGGGGGGTCAGAGGCCAGTAAGATTTGATTCAACTAAGCCTACAGCATGTTTCCAAACATGGTCGTAGAAGAAGAAGAGAGGTGCATACCATGAGATAGGATAAGTATATAAATATACAATTTATAGTAAAATTTTCAAATTTGTAAATATTTGAGGGTGGTGGGGTAGCCTAGAGGTGAAAGCGTTTGCTCGTCACGCCCATTCGTGGTGGTCCCCACCCTGATATTTTTGGAATATTGCTAAAAGTGGCGTAAAACCCAACTCACTCACTTACACACTGTAAATATTTGATTCTAGTGACCACAAATACTGAACTGTATTTATGAAGGGATACAGTTCTAGTCACCGAATACGTGAGTGAATTTAAGCAACCCTAGACCAGATCAGGCATTGCATGAAGTTGTCCCTTTCGAATTTGGAGTTGAGATTGCTCTATAGTCTCCCGTCAGTGGCCAGTGATCCCTGTCACAAAGATGCTTTACTGTGTTCTGTTAGCATGATCAGTATACTGTGGTTCATTGTGACTTGCAGCAAGATCTGGAGCGAGCCCAGTTCCTCCTTCATCAAGCATTTGATGAGGATGAGAACAACAACAAAGAAGATGCTGTTGAACTATACTCAGAGGCCGTGGAACTGTTTATCAAAATAGTAAGTATTGCAACATCACAGAATGATACATAACTAGTTTACCTCCTTTCTGTTTGGATCAGATTAAGAAGCATTTAATACAGCTTCGTCTCATCTGAATAACAGTCTCGTGTCAATGAAATAGATGATATCTGTTAGCAAAAGTCTTGAATACTTGTGCCCAAAGTGTGTATATTAAGACAAGTGTGTATTTGTGATTTTTTTAAACATTCTATTTGATAACTTCTTTGTGTAGTCTGGTATACAGAAGGAGGTCAGACACAGTCACTTGGTTGATGGCGTCCTTGTACCCGTGTAGCTCGGGCTGTTGTAGCTGGAATATTGCTGATCACATAGTGGAACAAACAGGACTTTGTGGTTAAATAGTTGTGTACATGAAAACTAAATCAAATTAAAAAATAATAGCCATTGATATTGAAAGACTAAGTATAATAACTTCCTATTTTTTCTCATGTGCACATTGTTGCATGTGTGTTCATTAGTTCATAGTAAATATTACAAACAATCCATTGATAAATTAAATATTATTCAACTATTTAAATCAGCTAAATTGTGAATGCTCCCAATCCCTGTTGTGAATCATAATTGTAATTACAGAGAAACGATACAACTGACTCCAGTCTGCAAACTAAAGTTACCAAGATGGCAACACAGGCTCTTGACAGGTAATATCACTGTCGCCCTCATTGGTCACCGCTGTCACCCACATTAGTCATCACTGCCACCCACATTAGTCATCACTGCCACCCACATTAGTCACCACTGCAACCCACATCAGTCACCACTGCAACCCACATTAGTCACTACTGCAACCCAAATTAGTCACCACTGCAACCCACAATAGTCACTGCTGCCATCCACATTAGTCACCACTACCACCCACATTAGGCACCACTGTCACCCTCATTAGTCACCACTACCACCCACATTAGTCACCACTACCACCCACATTAGTCACCACTACCACCCACATTAGGCACCACTGTCACCCTCATTAGTCACCACTGCAACCCACACTAATCACCACTGCCACCCACATTAGTCACCACTACCACCAACATTGGTCATCACTACCACCCTCATTAGTCACCACTACCACCCACATTAGTCACCACTGTCACCCTCATTAGTCACCACTACCACCCACATTAGTCACCACTACCACCAACATTAGTCATCACTACCACCCTCATTAGTCACCACTACCACCCACATTAGTCACCACTGTCACCCTCATTAGTCACCACTACCACCCACATTAGTCACCACTACCACCAATTATTACTACCACATCACTACCACCCTCATTAGTCACCACTACCACCCACATTAGTCACCACTACCACCCACATTAGTCACCACTACCACCCACATTAGTCACCACTACCACCCTCATTAGTCACCACTACCACCCACATTAGTCACCACTACCACCAACATTAGTCATCACTACCACCCTCATTAGTCACCACTACCACCCACATTAGTCACCACTGTCACCCTCATTAGTCACCACTACCACCAAAACTAATCACCACTGCCACCCACATTAGTCCCCACTATCACCCACATTAGTCACCACTACCACCCACACTAGCCACCACTGCCACCCACATTAGTCACCACGCAACCCATGTTAGTCACCACTGTCACCCTCATTAGTCACCACTGCAACCCACACTAATCACCACTACCACCCACATTAGTCACCACTACCACCCACATTGGTCACCACTACCACCCACATTAGTCACCACTACCACCCTCATTAGTCACCACTACCACCCACATTAGTCACCACTACCACCCACACTAGCCACCACTACCACCCACATTAGTCACTGCTGCCACCCACACTAGTCACCACTACCACCCACACTAGTCACCACTACCACCCACACTAGTCACCACTGTCACCCACATTAGTCACCACTACCACCCTCATTAGTCACCACTGTCACCCTCATTAGTCCCATTGGCATCTAAAAGGCATCTAGCCAAATTGAATCAAGATTCTGGTTTGACCGGCAGTATTGCTACCCTTTGTCAAATTCATGTTTGTTGTTCAATGATGCATTAGAAACAGAAGTATGTTATTTCATTTTGACAGGGCTGAAAATTTGAAAAAGAAACTCAAAATTGCCAGTCCTCATAATAACCAAGGGAAACAACTCCCAAGCCAGCCAGGAAGAATTATGCCTCCTCTTGGTTTTGGAGCCTTTTCAGAGGATGATGATAAACCTCGGCCCCGTCCACAACCCCAGGGAATGCCGGGTCCCCCTCCCTCATCCTCAGGGCCGGCCAATGTTGGGGCTTCTTCTTACACCAAAGAGGAGATAGCAGTAATTAGGTAAGTATAAATACGATATGACAGGAATACTTTGTCTTTTAGTTATTTATTAGTTAACATTATTATTTGTATATCATTTGTTATCTAATAATATAACATATTGCTGCTGAATAATGTTGATAAATCTCTGCAGAATCCAAGTGCTTCATATCATAAGAGCCTTTCACTGGTGTATTGTCATTAGGTCATATAAACTGCAGCACTACACTGTGTGAGACTGGTAACAGTATTTCCTCAAGAAACTCAAGAAACACCTGCGTTTGTTTGAGAGACTGGCTGTCACTGATGCGATGTCATAGTTTTCTATATCCACTGTAGAGGCATTTTTGTGAAACTTAGTATATCTGTTAGTAGAAGGCTCAACAACACATAATGTGCTTTTGCAAACTTTAATGTTTGACTTTTGTCACTGTCACCATGTGATCTTGGTCCTAAATTCTCTAGAAATTGCCTCATCTCAATATTTTCAAATGGTTTGAATCAGATTCACAGTATACTGAAAAACCTATGTTTCTATGCAATACATTTGCAATATATATACTGCCCTTTACATGGTGAAATAGCTGAACTGTAAGAAGGAAGTTCCTCAATTTGACTACAGAGAATTTTGCTCTTGAAAAATCATTAGGCTTTAGTTTTACATTTTCCATAGCAAGGAATACTGCCGAAACTGTATGAATATCAATACCAACTGCAACTTGTTAGGTGGCTTTCTCCTTGTCAAACTGTTGATTATATATGCAGGTGAGCTACAGTGTGGTGTTATTTCTGTTTCCACTGTCTTTCCTCCATATATACATGTAGTCTTGTTTTACAACTGAATTGGCTTAAGAAATACAGTTCGCTCTACCACCATGTATAGTGTAATAAAGCACACTTTCGCCCTGAACTATTATAGTTAAAGCTTTAACGTTATAATAGTTCAGGGCAAAAGTGTGGTTTATTACACTATACATGGTGGTAGAGCGAACTGTATTTCTTTTCTAAGATGCCAAATTTAATACTTTCTAAGGGTAATTACGATTAATCTAAGGCACAAAACAAATGACGGTGTCGGTGGCCTAAATTAAGAATCCTCGCACAGGGCTAACTGGCGCTCTTGTCCTATTGATGTGTCTGCCCCCCTACGTTAAGACGAACGTTACCAGAAAATACAAACGATAAACAGTTTGATGACGGTTTATGTTCGGATTAAATATCTTCTCTAAATTATTTTAATTACATCTGTGCTTATCGTAAAAACCATATGGGGCAATATGAACGTCGCATTTCTACTACCAAACTAAGTTTAGATCAGTACATTCAGATGAAGCTGAGTAGTCAAGCGACATTCCACGATTGCATTGTGGGAATGTAAACATTGCGAACGTTACCGTGTCGCTGAAAACTTGAGAGTCGAATTGAGACATTTAAAACATCGGAAAACATAAACGTCATGTTTCCACCAGTGACGTTAGCTGCGTGAAGCAACTGCAAACCAAGAAACGGGATGCAATGGAGTAGTATACTGTAGGAGGCTGAATGAGGCGATGGCAACGGACATGCATCGTGACGTTACTTATATTGTGACGTAATGCAAAATTGTTTGATTACGAGGGGGCAGACTAGAATGGCATTACATTGTGACGTAATGCAAAAAGTGCACATTATCGTCTGATAAAGTACTGTCGGCGCCTTTGATCTTTAACCGAAGCATCTCAGAAAATGAAATACAATGTAGTGAGACACAGGTATTGATACCAATAACTGGACTGACATTAGCAAAGAGAACTTTTCATTTAAGAAATTTGTATCTTTAACATGCAATTATATATTTGTGTATTTTCAGAAGCACCTCAAATATCAATGGTCGAGAATATGTCCCATTTCTGTCTGTTGATCTGAAGGAGCGGTTTGCCTTCCCAGTACCTTTCACGTAAGTAGCTCTGACTGTGTTGATGATGGTGAGGAGGAGGAGGGGAGGAAGAGGAGCTTCTGTAGTTGGAGCTGACTTTGCATGTATCAGCTCTGACACTTCAAGTCACATTGTGTTCTAGATAGGAACATTATTCACATTTGGAAATGAGTGTCTGGAGTTCACTAACTGACTAACATGTCTGTTAATTCCCTTGAAGTGTGCATGTTGTGAGGTTCTAGACTGGCTAACAAAGGGTGAGTGTAACTTGGTCCTACACTATCAGCAACTCTGTTATGACAGGAACTCAGCAAATATTCCAGCTATATGGCAGTGGTTTGTAAATAATCGAGTCTGGACTAGACAGTTTAGTGATCAAAAGTATGAACATCGATCTACACAATTGGGATACGATGACATGTGCCAACCAAGTCAGCGAGCCTGACCACCCGATCCCGTTAGTCACCTTTTACGACAAGCATGGGTTACTGAAGATTAATTCTAACCTGGATCTTCATGGGTCTCTTGTGATAAGGATGGGTACTATTACTAATAATACTCTGTATGTTGTTCCAGTGATAAGGATGGGAAACTGGCCATGTCCCCCAAACAGAGGTCACAGTTTGGGAAATGGGGTCGAGCTGAAGATTTCTGTGAAGATCCAAAGATGATCCTGGCTGTTTCTCCATTTAGCATCAGACAGGTGAGGAAAGTTCCTTCAGAAAGTTGGGACTATTACCTGTAATCAGCCAGGTGTGAAGTTTTACTTCTACATTAGACAGGCGAGAAGTTTTGAGGACTGTTACCTGTATATAGAGAATAGTGAGTTTACCTGTACTTCAGACAGGTGAAAAGTGTTATCTGTATATCAGAAAGGTGAAAATTGTGGATCTAAACATGTTAGGACTGTGTATATTGATGAGTGAGTGTATCTGTACTTCTAGCAGGTGAGGTCTGTTATATCAGTAAACTCATATACGATTTGAAGGCATTGAAAGTTTGATCTGTCATATTAATAATAAAAACACTATTTGTGTGTTACATAAGTTGTGATTCATTGGAAAAGTGTGAAAGATTTTGTGTTGTGTTTCAGACCATAGTGTCTGACTGCAGTTTTGTAGCCTCAGTGGCCATCAGTGCCCAGTATGAGCGGAGGTTCAAGAAGAAGCTGATCACCAGGTGAGTGCAGCAACATGGAGACAACATATTCCATGGCACACCCAACATCCCAATGCTAGCCAGGATCCAGTAACTCAATGTTAAACTTGGGTCCCTTAGTCCCCTGTATTGTTATTGAGTGAGTGAGTGAGTTTAGTTTTACACCGCATTGGAGAGCTACTTATTCCATCTGTACAATAATCATCTGGAATGACAATCCAGTGATCAACAGCATGAGCATCGATCTGGATCCAGTAACTCAATGACATACGTTCAACCAAATCAGGGAGCCTGACCACCCTTAGTCTCCAAGCATGGGTTACTGAAGGCCAATATTCTAACCCGGACCTTCATGTTTCGTGTTGTTATTGAGCTGACATAGGTTTATCAGTTTGGATCTTGTGTTCTAACCTGAATGTACTGTTGCTGTTTGTATTTCACTGCAAATTAGATATAATCGTTATCCATTGCAGCATCATTTACCCCCAGAACCGCCAGGGAGAGCCCGTATACAACCCGTGTGGGAAGTACATGGTCAAACTCAACATTAACGGTGTGCATCGGAAGGTATAACTAGTACAATCACTTCATCTAGAATCAGGGAAATCTTGTGCATAAAGGTGCTTGCTCAGGTAGCTACGGATAATGAATTCAAATCACTTATTTTAATATGACAATGTGATGCTGATATCACCCTCTGTCTCCCATAGACTCCTATACACATGTACCATCTGTCTCCCATAGACCCCTATACACTTGTACCATCTGTCTCCTATAGACCCATATACACATGTACCATCTGTCTCCCATAGACCCCTATACACATGTACCATCTGTCTCCTATAGACCCCTATAAACATGTATCATCTGTCTCCTATAGACCCCTATACACATGTACCATCTGTCTCCTGTAGACTACTATACACTTGCACCATCTGTCTCCTATAGACCCCTGTACACATGTACCATCTGTCTCCTATAGACCCCTATACACCGTGTGGGATCTGTCTCCTACTAGACCCCTATACACATGTACCATCTGTCTCTAGTATAATCACCCATCTAGATACACATCTTGTGCATCTGTCTCCTGTAGACTACTATGAATTCAAATCACCATCTGTCTCCTATAGACCCCTATACACATGTACCATCTGTCTCCCATAGACTACTATACACTGTACCATCTGTCTCCTATAACCCCTATACACATGTACCATCTGTCTCCTATAGACCCCTATACACATGTACCATCTGTCTCCTATAGACCCCTATACACATGTACCATCTGTCTCCTATAGACCCCTATACACATGTACCATCTGTCTCCTATAGACCCCTATACACATGTACCATCTGTCTCCTATAGACCCTATACACTTGTACCATCTGTCTCCTATAGACCCTATACACATGTACCATCTGTCTCCTATGGGCATAGACCCTATACACATGTACCATCTGTCTCCTATAGACCCCTATAAACATGTACCATCTGTCTCCTATAGACCCCTATACACATGTACCATCTGTCTCCTGTAGACTACTATACACTTGTACCATCTGTCTCCTATAGACCCCTATACACATGTACCATCTGTCTCCTATAGACCCCTATACACATGTACCATCTGTCTCCTATAGACCCCTGTACACATGTACCATCTGTCTCCTATAGACCCCTATACACATGTACCATCTGTCTCCTGTAGACTACTATACACATGTACCATCTGTCTCCTATAGACCCCTATACACATGTACCATCTGTCTCCTGTAGACTACTATACACTTGTACCCTCTGTCTCCTATAGACCCCTATACACATGTACCATCTGTCTCCTGTAGACTACTATACCCATGTACCATCTGTCTCCTATAGACCCCTATACACATGTACCATCTGTCACCTATAGACCCCTATACACATGTACCATCTGTCTCCTATAGACCCCTATACACTTGTACCCTCTGTCTCCTATAGACCCCTATACACATGTATCATCTGTCTCCTATAGACCCCTATACACATGTACCATCTGTCTCCTATAGACCCCTGTACACTTGTACCCTCTGTCTCCTATAGACCCCTGATACACTTGTACCCTCTCTCTCCTTTAGACCCCTATAAAACATGTACCCTCTGTCACCTATAGACCCCTATACACATGTACCATCTGTCTCCTGTAGACTACTATACACTGTGCCCTCTGTTTCCTATAGACCCTATCTACACATGTGCCTCTGTCTCCTATAGACTCCCATACACATGTACCATGTGTCTCCTACCCCTATACACATGTACCCATCTGTCTCCTATGAACCCTATACACATGCCACCATCTGTCTCCCTATGAGACCCCTGTGCACTTGTGTCCATCTGTCTCCTGTAGACCCCTGTGTACACTTGTACCTCTCTCTCCTTTAGACTCCCTATAAAACATGTACCCTCTGTCACCTATAGACCCCTATACACATGTACCATCTGTCTCCTGTAGACTACTATACACTTGTACCCTCTCTCTCCTATAGACCCATATACACATGAACCATCTGTCTCCTATAGACCCCTATACACATGTACCATCTGTCACCTATAGACCCCTATACACATGTACCATCTGTCTCCTATAGACCCCTATACACATGTATCATCTGTCTCCTATAGACCCCTATACACATGTACCATCTGTCTCCTATAGACCCCTATACACATGTACCATCTGTCTCCTATAGTCCCTCTGAACCCCATGTACCATCTGTCTCCATAGACTTTTACACATGTACCCTCTGTCTGTCTCCTATAGACCCCTATACACATGTACCCCTCTGTCCTCCTATAGACTTCCTATACACATGTACCATGTGTCTCCTATAGAACCCCTGTCTCATACACATGTATCATCTGTCTCCTATAAACCCTATACACATGTAACATCTGTCTCCTGTAGACCCCTATATACATGTAACATCTGTCTCCCCTATACCATCCATGTCTCTCCATGTCCATATACTATGTCATCTGTCTCCTATAAACCCCTATATCATCTGTCTCCATCTGACTCCTATGTATCCATCTGTCTCCTATACACATGTATCATCTGTCTCCCATCTCCTATACACATGTAATCATCCTCCATAGATCTATACATGTATCCATCTGTCTCCTAAGACCCCTTACTATCATGTGTCTGTCTCCATAGACCCCTATATCCATCTGTCTCCATGTATCATCTGTCTCTGTCTCCCATCTCTATACCACATGTATCATCTGTCTCCCATAGACCTCATCTGTCTTCCATGAACTCCTATGTGTATCATCTGTCTCCATAGACTCCTGTCTCCATGTACCATCTGTCTCCCCATCCTCAGACCCATGTACCATCTGTCTCCTATAGATTCCCATGTGTCATGTATCATCTGTCTCATGTCTCATCTGTCTCTCCATAAGACTGTATACATTGTTTCATCTGTCTCCTATGAACCCCTTCATGTACCATCTGTCTCCATAGACTCCTATACACATGTACCATCTGTCTCCCATCCACATGTCTTCCATATGTATCCATCTGTCTCCTCAGACCCCATGTACCATCTGTCTCATGTGACCCCTCTGTCTCCTCAGACCCCTCCTTCTGTCTCATCTATCATCCTGTGGATGTACCATCTGTCTCTGTGTCTCCATGAACCTTCATGTACCATCTGTCTCCTATAGACCCCTCACATGTATCATCTGTCTCCTATGACCCCTATACATGTACCATCTGTCTCCTATAGACCCCTGTACCATCCATCTGTCTCCATAGACCCCTGTACACTGGGCCTGTGCCATCTGTGTCCACTGATGTGCCATCACTGTCTCCTGGGACCCCCTATACATGTGTCCTCTGTCTCCTCCTGACCCCTATGTGCCATCTGTCTCCATACTGTAGCCTCCATATGCCACCATCTGTCTCCTGGGTCCTACCTATTTTCCTGTGGATCATCTGTCTCCTATAGACTCTGTTTTCTGTGTCCTCTGTGCTCCTGTCTACCATGTGTCTCTATGTCTGTCTCCTTTACCATCTGTCTCCTGTAGACCATGTTTTCATCTGTCTCCTGTGTTCCTTGTGTCTGTCTCCTTGGACCTGCCTCTGTCCTCCATAGACCTCTGTGTGTCTGTCTCCTGTGTGCCATCTGTCTCCTGTGTGTCTCCTATCCTGTGTGCCTCTCTGTCTCCTTCCATCTGTCGTCTGTCTGTCAGACTGTGTGCATGTCTGTCTCCTGCATGGGCCACTGTGCCATCTGTGCCATTGTCTGTCTCCTGTGTGTCTGTCTCCTGTGCATGTCTGTGGACCATGTGTGTCGTCTGTGTCTGGACTGTGTGTCTGGGACTGTCTCCTGGATGTGTGTGCCGTCTGTCTCCTGGTGCCTGTCTCTGTCTCCTGGGGTTATGTGTGTCTGTCTCCTGTGTGGTGTCTGTCTCTGGGACCATGTGTCTGTGTCTGTCTCCTGGGTGTCTGTCTCCTGTGGGCCTTGTGCCTCTGTGTCCTGTGTGTGTCTCCTGTCTCCTATGTCTGTCTCCTGTGTGTCTCCACTGGGATTGTCTGTGTCTGTCTCCTGGACCTCCTTCCTGGGACCTATGCATGTGTGCTGTCTCCTGTGGTGTGCCATCTGGGTCCTGGGTCTGTGTCTGTCTTTTCCCTGTCTGTCTCCTGTGTCTCCACTGTCCTGTCCTCCTGGTACCCCTCTGTCTCCCTGTGTCCATGTCTGTCTGTGGTTCCATCTGTCTCCTGTGTGTCTGTCCTCCTGGGTCTGTGTGTGTGTCTCCTGGGTTTCTGTCTCTGTGTCATGTACTGGTTTTTCCTGTCTCCACATGTCTCCTGTGTACCATCTCTGTACCATCTGTCTCCTAGTGTGTCTGTCTCCTGTGTCCTGGGTCTGTGCCTTCCTTGTGTCTCTGGACCCTGTGTGTCTGTCTCCTGGGAACCATGTGTCTGTCTCCTGGACCCTGTGTGTCTCCTATGTACACTTGTACTGTGTCCTGGGTCTGTCTCCCCTGGGTACCATCTGTCTCCTGTGTCTTCTCCGTCTTCCTGTGACCCTCTGTACCATCTGTCTCCCTGTGTTTCTGTCTCCCTCTGTGGTTGTCTCTGTCTGTGTGTCTGTCTCCAGACCACATGGACCATGTGTCTGTCTCCCTGGGTTTTCTTGTCTCCTCCTGTGTCCTGTGACCACTGTGCCTCTGTCCTTTAGACCTGTACCCTGTCACCTACCAGACCCTATACACATGTACCATCTGTCTCCTGTGACTACCTATACCACATATACCATCTGTCTATAGACCTATACATGGACCATGTGCCATGTCTCCTATGAACTATGCACATGTACCATCTGTCTCCTATAGACCCCTCACATGTGTCTCCTATAGACCCTCATGTTGTCTCTGTCTCCTATAGACCCTGTACACTGTACCATCTGTCTCTATGAACCTTGTGTCCTCCTGTCTCCTATGAAGCCCCTCACATGTCCCTCCTGTCACCTCTGTCTCCTATATACCCTATACACATGTCCATGTCCTGGGTCTCCTATAGACCCCTCCTGTGGCCCCTATACACATGTACTGTTTCCTAGACCCCTATACACATGTGCCCTCTGTCTCTATGTGTGTGTCTCTCACCTATAGTGTCTGTCTCCTGGGCACATTAAGTGTCTCCTGTAGACTACTATACACTTGTCCCTCTGTTTCCTATAGACCCTATACACATGTGTACCCTCTGTGTCCCTATGGTACCATGTGTCTCCTATGAACCCCTGTACCATCTGTCCTCTATGACCCCCCTATACATGTACCATCTGTCTCCTATAGACCCTGTACACTTGTCTGTCTCCTGTGGACCCTGGCACTCTGTCCTGTGCCCTAGACCCCTGTGCATCTGTCTCCCTGTGGTTCCTATGTACCATCTGTCTCACATGAACTATATACACTTGTGCCCTCTGTCTCCTAGTACCACCCTGTACTCCTGGGTCTGTATGGACCATGTATAGACCCCTCTGTCTCTGTCTCTATAGACCCCTATGTGTACATGTACCCTCTGTCTCTGTATCTGTCTCCTGTGAACATAGACCCCTATGTGTACATCTCCTATAGTACATGTACCCTCTGTCTCCTCCTATCGTGTCTCCTTTAGACCTCCTATGGACCTGTCTGTACACCTATGGACCCTGTACACATGTGCCATCCTGTCTCCCTATAGACATGTACCCTCTGTCTCCTATGGACCCCTATACACGTGTACCATCTCTCTCCCTAAGACCCCTGTACATTTGTGCCCTCTTCTCCTCTTCTCCATAAGGTTCCCTTTTCATAACATTTGCGTGTACCACATGTTTTATTGTCTCCCTTTGTCTTCTGTTTGTCCCGTATATTCTTGCCGTCTCATCTTGTCTCCAGTAGACAGACTATACATGTACCATCAAGTCTCCTGTAGACTACTGTACACATGTACCATCTGTCTGGTGTAGACTACTATACACATGTACCATCTGTCTAAGTGTAGACCCCTATACACATGTACCATCTGTCTCCTGTAGACAACTGTACACTTGTACCATATCTTCTGTGCAGGTTATTCTGGACTGACTACTTCCCAATTAGTAGCCTGCGGTGACCTTCTGTGCTCCTTCTCCTGTCGAGATGAGCTGTGGGTGTCCCTGCTGGAGAAGGCCTACATGAAGGTCATGGGCGGATATGACTTCCCAGGTTCCAACTCTGTATGTAGGAGTAGATGTATCTTTGAAGTTTGTTGTTTTGTAAAGGCAATTCGTCAACTAAATGGAATGATGTATTACTGACATTTTGAAAAAATACATAACACATATATTTAGTTGTCTTTACTTGTTCAGTTTTTGTGAATTTGGCTTTCAACATGATTGATTCACCTTGATTAATTGTAGATATGATTTGTTATTTGCTTGTTGTTTCAGAACATTGACTTACATGCCCTGGCCGGGATGGATCCCGGAGAGAGTGGCCTATCAGACCAGGCAGTCAGGAGTTTGACAAGGACCCGTGAGTTCAAGCTTGACTCCTGGGCAGCTTCCACAAAAGGACACTGTCTGATAACTGTGGCAACTGGGGAGATGTCAGAATCTCATGCTGAAAGAGCTGGACTAGTGCCAACACATGCCTATGCCATGTTGGATATCAGAGAGGTCAAAGGTCAGTAATAGACATTTTGAAGGGCATATGAAAACATGTCATCAGTAAGAACTGTTCTGTTTCTATTGACTTATCTACTTCAATTTTGGTATTTTTCACTTCCTAGGGTCAGCGGTTGTTCTTGTTGAAGAATCCCTGGAACCATTTACGCTGGAAAGGACATTTTTCTGAAAATGATACAACACATTGGACACCTGAACTTCAGAAGGCCTTGAACTATGATCCCAAAAGTGCTCAGACATTTGATAATGGTATGTAAGATGGAAAATCTTGTGTGAGATAGAAGATGGCATGTGTGATGAATGATGGTGTGTGTGATGAATGATGGTGTGTGTGATGAATGATGGTGTGTGTGTGATGAATGATGGTGTGTGTGATGAATGATGGTGTGTGTGAGATGAATGATGGTGTGTGAGATGAGTGATGGTGTGTGTGAGATGAATGATGGTGTGTGTGTGATGAATGATGGTGTGTGTAGATATGAATGATGGTGTGTGTGATGAATGATGGTGTGTGAGATGGTGGTATATGATGAATGTGTGTGATGAATGATGATTATTGTGTGTGTGATGTGATGAATGATGTCTGTGTGTGATGAATGATGGTGTGTGAGATGAATGATGGTGCGCAGCGTGAGCCAGATGATGGGTGTGTGTGATGAATGATGTGTGAATGAGAAAAGATGAATTATTGTGTGTGCTTGATGAATGATAGTATTGTGTGTGATGAATGATAGTTTTGTAGAGATGAATGATGAATTATTGTGTGTGAATAAAATAAGGTATGTGTAATGAATGAGAGAAATAGGTGTGTGTAAAAGTGGAATGATGGTGTGTGGGAATGAATGATACTGTGTGTGGCCGAATGATGGTGTGTGAGATGAGAGATGGTTTGTGTGTGATGTGAATGATGATGTGTGTGTGATTCGATAGATGATGGTGTGTGATGAATGAATAATAGTGTGTAGAGATGAATGATGGTGTGTGAGATGACAGATGGTTTGTGGTGTGAGATGAATATTAGTGTGTGTGCTTGATGAATGATAGTGTGTGTGTGATGAATATTAGTGTGTGATGAATGATAATTGTGTAGAGATGAAGTGATAATTGTGTGTGATGAATGATAGTGTGTGTGATGAATAATTATCTGTGTGATGAATGAATGATGGTGTGTGAGATGAATAATCGGTGTGTGTGATGAATGATAGGTGTGTGTGATGAATGATGGTGTATGAGATGAAAAAAGAATAGTATGTGTGTGATGAATAAAGTAGTATGTGTGTGTGATGAATATTAGTTTGTGAGATGAATGATAGTGTGTGTGTGATGAATGATAGTGTGTGTAATGAATGATAGGTGCTTAATGAGATGAATGATGGTGTGTGAGATGAATGATACTGTGTGTGATGAATGAATGATGGTGTGTGTGAGATGAGAGAGAAGATGGTTTGTGTGTGTGATGAATGATAAGGTGTGTGTCTGTGATGAATGATAGTTTGTAGAGATAGATGATGGGTATTAATGTGTGTGAGTGAATGATAGTGTATGTGATGAATGATAGGTGTGTAAAAGAGATGAATGATAAGGTGTGTGAGATGGATGATGGTGTGTCTTGAGATGAATGATAATGTGTGTGATGATGAATGATGAATTGTGTGTGTGTGATGAAGATGATAGTTTGTGTGAGATGAATGATGGTGTGTGTGTGATGAATATTAGTGTGTATGATGAATATTAGCGTGTGAGATGAGAGATGATATGTGTGTGATGAATGATGGTGTGTGTGCTTGATGAATGATAGTTTTGTAGAGATGAATAGTGGTATGTGTGTGTGATAAATGATGAGTGTGTGCTTGATGAATGATAGGTGTGTGAGATGAATGATGAGTGTGTAGAGATGAATGACTATGTAATTGTGTGTGTGATGAATGATTGTGTGTGATATGAGTGATTGTGTGTGTGTGATGAATGATAGTTGTGTGAGATAGTGATAGTATTATGTGTGTTATGAAGAAGGATGGTGTGTGTAGAGATATGAATATTAATTGTGTGTGTGATGAATGATAGCTGTAGGTGAGATGAGTGATGAGTGTGTGTGTGTGATGAATGATAGTGTATGTGTGTGATGAAAGATATTAGTGTGTGAGATGAATGATGGTGTGTGAGACGACAGATGGTGTGTCTCGATGCGATGAATAATTGTGTGAGATGAATGATAATTGTGTGTGCTTGATGAATATTAGTGTGTGTGATGAATGATAGTGTGTGTGATGAATGATAGGTGTGTGTGATGAATGATAGTGTGTGATGAATGATAGTGTGTGTGATGAATATTGATAATGTGAGATAAGTGATAATTGTGTGTGTGATGAATGATAGTTTGTGCAAGAGATAGACCAAGCCGTGTGTGTGATGATAGACATAATTGTGTGTGATGAATAGTAGGTGTGTAGAGATGAATGATAGTGTGTGTGATGAATGATAATTGTGTGTGATGAATGATGGTTGGTATGAGATGAGTGATTGTGTGTGATGAATGAATGATGTGTGTGTGGGATGAGATTATAATTGTGTGAGATGAATATTGATAATTGTGTAGAATGAATATTGGTATTGTGTGATGAATGATAGTGTATGTATGATGAATATGATAATTGTGTGATAGACAATGGTATTAATGTGATGAATGATGATATGTGAGATGAGTAATTGTGTGTGTCATGATGAATGATAGTGTGTGGTATGAATAATAGGTGTGTGAGATGAATGATGAATAGTGTGTGATGAATGATAGTTGTGTGTGATGAACCAAATAGTGTAGAGTGAGATGAGTGATTGTGTGTGTGTGATGAATGATAGTGTGTGTAGAGGATGAGTTATAGTTGTGTAGAGATGAATAAATGAGTATGTAGAGATGAATGATAGTATGTGTGTGATGAATACTGAGGTATGTAATATAAGTGATAGATATGTATGTATTGATAAGAATGATAATTATGTAGGAATAGTAGTAGGTATGTGTGTTATGAGAAGGATAGTATGTGAGATAGACAATGGAAAGTGTGTGATGAATGATGGTGTGGGTGAGATGAGTGATAGTTGTGTTTGATGAATGATGGTGTGTGTGATGAATGATAGTGTGTGAGATGAATGATAGTGTGTGAGATGACAAGATGGTGTGGTGTGTGATGAAAAAGAATGGTATGTAAGATGGAAAAATCTTGTGTGATGAATGAAGATGGTGTGTGTGATGAATGATGGTGTGTGTGATGAATGATGGTGTGTGAGATGAGAGATGGTGTGTGTGTGATGAATGATGGTGTGTGTGATGAATGATGGTTTGTGAGATGAATGATGGTGTGTGTGATGAATGGTTGTGTGTGTGATGAATGATAGGTGTGGGAGATGAATGATGGTGTGTGATAAATGATGGTGTGTGAGATGAATGATGGTGTGTGTGATGAATGCTGGTGTGTGTGATGAATGATGGTGTGTGAGATGAGTGATTGTGTGTGTGTGTGTGATGAATGATGGTGTGTGTGAGATGAGTTATGGTGTGTGAGATGAATGATGGTGCTCATAAATAGATACACATTGACGTTATTAGCTCTTACACATATCCTGATGTTTCACTGTAATCATTGTGTTCCAGGTGTGTTCTGGATCGACTATGACTCCCTGTGTTCATTCTATGACGTCTTCTACATCAACTGGAGTCCCGAGTTATTCACGCACACCACATGCATACACCAGTAAGTCTAGCAACTGGAATTCTTTCACATGCCAGTCTCTTGTCGTTAATCTTGTCATTCAGTAACTGTCAACCACTATCTCAACAGACATCAACAGAGCATTATCAAAGTGATTACAGGCAATCACAGATCCCCCCAATGTGTGATGTAAAACCCAACTGGAGGAGGGCGACATTATTTCAACATACCAGGGTGCTTGGTCTTTATTTGTCTACACATAATATGTTTCTTCAGTAATGCATCCTTCCCCTCTAATTGCCATGTTGGAAGTATGGAGACCATTGTTCCTGAAAGCCACTAGGGTTATATGGATGTGGGTGATCACTGGTTCATCACTTTATTTCTAGAGATGTAGCGTATATATCAGTCATATTTGATTATGTACTATAATTGTTTGATGGGGGGCAGTATATAAGTATATGTTTCTGACCCCAACAGTTCCTGGCATGCCAAGGAAGGTCCCAAGAAAGACAGCTACAATATTAGTGACAACCCACAGTATCGGCTGGAGGTCAAGGCCAGCAAGCCTGCTGCTGTGTGGATCCTCCTCACTCGACATATCATAGATAAGGCAAGTCATGTGACATATCATAGATAAGGCAAGTCATGTGACATATAGATAAGGCAGGTCATGTGACATATCATAGATAAGGTAAGTCATGTGACATATCTTAGATAAGGCAAGTCATGTGATATATCATAGATAAGGTAAGTCATGTGACATATAGATAAGGCAAGTCATGTGACATATCATAGATAAGGCAAGTCATGTGACATATCATAGATAAGGCAAGTCATGTGACATATCATAGATAAGGCAAGTCATGTGACATATCATAGATAAGGTAAGTCATGTGACATATAGATAAGGCAAGTCATGTGACATATCATAGATAAGGCAAGTCATGTGACATATCATAGATAAGGCAAGTCATGTGACATATCATAGATAACACAAGTCATGTGACACATCATAGATAAGGCAATTCATGTGACACATCAAAGATAAGTCAAGTCCTGTGACACATAATAGATAAGGCAAGTCATGTGACATATCATAGATAAGTCAAGTCATGTGACATATCATAGATAAGGCAAGTCGTGTGACATATCAGATAAGTCAGGTCATGTGACATATCATAGATAAGTCAAGTCATGTGACATATCATAGATAAGGCAAGTCATTTGACATATCATAGATAAGTCAGGTCATGTGACATATAGATAAGGCAAGTCATGTGACATTATAGATAAGGCAAGTCATGTGACATATCATAGATAACGCAAGTCATGTGACATATCATAGATAAGTCAAGTCATGTGACATATAGATAACGCAAGTCATGTGACATATCATAGATAAGTCAAGTCATGTGACATATCATAGATAACACAAGTCATGTGACACATCATAAATAAGGCAAGTCATGTGACACATCATAGATAAGTCAAGTCATGTGACATATAGATAAGGCAAATCATGTGACATATAGATAAGGCAAGTCATGTGACACATCAAAGATAAGTCAAGTCATGTGACACATCATAGATAAGGCAAGTCATGTGACATATCATAGATAAGTCAAGTCATGTGACATATAGATAAGGCAAGTCGTGTGACATATCATAGATAAGTCAGGTCATGTGACATATCATAGATAAGGCAAGTCATGTGACATATCATAGATAAGGCAAGTCATGTGACACATCAAAGATAAGTCAAGTCATGTGACACATCATAGATAAGGCAAGTCATGTGACATATCAAAGATAAGTCAAGTCATGTGACACATCATAGATAAGGGGAGTCATGTGACATATTACAGATAAGGGAAGTGCTGTTTACAGATAAAGTCATGTTACATATCATGAATATCTGTCATATCTTCTTGCAATGGTCGTGTATTTGTTTCAATGATTCCAGGATGATTTTGCGGACAACAAGGAGTTCATTACTGTGTTGCTGTACAAGACTGAGGGCAAGAGAGTCTTCTATCCCTGTGAGTAATCCTGGGTATTCTCTGGACGCCGAAGCCTAGTGGTAGATATGGTGTCACAGGGGGCACAGTGTAACAGAGTGTACTAGTAGATGAGGGGTCACAGCCTACTACTAGATGAGGGGGCGTACTGTACTAGTAGATGAGGGGGCGTACTGTACTGGTAGATTAGGGGTCACAATACACTAGTAGATGAGGGGGCGTACTGTACTAGTAGATGAGGGGTCACAGTGTACTAGTAGATGAGGGGTCACTGTACTAGTAGATGAGGGCTGACAGTGTACTAGTAGATGAGGGGGCGTACTGTACTTGTAGATGAGGGGGTACTGTGCTAGTAGATGAGGGGTCACAGTGTACTAGTAGATGAGGGGTCACAGTGTACTAGTAGATGAGGGGGCGTACTGTGCTAGTAGATGAGGGGTCACAGTGTACTAGTAGATGACGGGGGTACTGTACTAGTAGATGAGGGGTCACAGTGTACTAGTAGATTAAGGGTCACAGTGTACTAGTAGATGAGAGGGCGTACTGTACTAGTAGATGAGGGGTCACAGTGTACTAGTAGATGAGGGTCACAGTGTACTAGTAGATGAGGGGGCGTACTGTACTAGTAGATGAGGGGTCACAGTGTACTAGTAGATGAGGGGTCATACTGTACTAGTAGATGAGGGGTCACAGTGTACTAGTAGATGAGGGGGCGTACTGTACTAGTAGATGAGGGGTCACAGTGTACTAGTAGATGAGGGGTACTGTACTAGTAGATGAGGGTCACAGTGTACTAGTAGATGAGGGGTCACAGTGTACTAGTAGATGAGGGGTCAGTACTGTACTAGTAGATGAGGGGTCACACTGTACTAGTAGATGAGGGGTCACAGTGTACTAGTAGATGAAGAGGGATCACACTGTACTAGTAGATGAGGGGTCACAGTGTACTAGTATATGAGGGTGCATACTGTACTAGTAGATGAGGCCTGCTGTACTAGTAGATGAGGGTCACAGTGTACTAGTAGATGAGGGTCACAGTCTGATACTGTACTAGTAGATGAGGGGGTACTATACTGTACTAGTAGATGAGAGGGGTCACAGTGTACTAGTAGATGAGGGTCACACTGTACTAGTAGATGAGGGGGTCATACTGTACTAGTAGATGAGGGGTCACAGTGTACTAGTAGATGAGGGTCACAGTGATACTAGTAGTACTAGTAGATGAGGGTCACAGTGTACTAGTACTGTACTAGTAGATGAGGGGTCACAGTGTACTACTAGTAGATGAGATGGTAGTCACAGTGTACTAGTAGATGAGAGTCACAGTGTACTAGTAGATGAGAGGGGGTGCACTAGTAGTACTAGTGTATATGAGAAGGTCACAGTGTACTAGTAGATGAGGGGTCACAGTGTACTAGTAGATGAGGGGTCACACTGTACTGGTAGAAGTAGATGAGGGGGTCACAATACTGTGTACTAGTAGATGAGGGATCACAGTGTACTGTACTAGTAGATGAGGGGTCACAGTGTACTAGTAGATGAGGTCAAGTGTACTAGTAGATGAGGGTGTACTAGTAGATCACAGATGTACTAGTAGATGAGGGGGTGATACTGTAGTGTCTGAGTGTACTAGTAGACTGTACTAGTAGATGAGAGTAGTATTAGGGGTCACTGTGCTAGTAGATGAGGGGTCACAGTGTACTAGTAGATGAGGGGGCGTACTGTACTAGTAGATGAGGGGTCACAGTGTACTAGTAGATTAAGGGTCACAGTGTACTAGTAGATGAGAGGGCGTACTGTACTAGTAGATGAGGGTCAGTAGGATGAGAAGTCAGTGTACTAGTAGATGAGGGTGCACACTGTACTAGTAGATGAGGGTGCGTACTGTACTAATAGATGAGGGGTCACAGTGTACTAGTATATGAGGGGTCAGAGTGTACTAGTATATGAGGGGTCACAGTGTGCTAGTAGATGAAAGGGGGTACTGTACTAGTATATGAGGGGACGTACTGTACTAATAGATGAGGGGTCACAGTGTACTAGTATATGAGGGGTCAGAGTGTACTAGTATATGAGGGGTCACAGTGTGCTAGTAGATGAAAGGGGTACTGTACTAGTATATGTAGTACTGTACTAGCAAATGAGGGTCCAGTGTACTTGTAGATAAGGAGTTAAGTTACTGTACTAGTAGATGAGGGTCACAGTGTACTAGTATATGAGGGGATCACAGTGTACTAGTAGATGAGGGTCTGTACTAGTAGATGACTAGTATTCTTCCATCTGTCTCCTGGGCCTTCCATCTGTCTCCATGGGCCTTCTGTCTCCTCTTTTCATGTACCATCTGTCTCATGTTTCTTGTACCACTCTTTTGTCTCCATAGACCCCTTGTACCATCTGTCTCCTGGAGCCACTGTACCTCTGTGTCCAGACATTTTTCTTTTCCTGTCTCTCAGACTATTTTTATGTACCATCTGTCTCCTCATGTACCATCTGTCTCCATAGACTATATTTTCCATCTGTCTCTCAGACCATGTTCATCTGTCTCTATGTTCTGTCTGTCTCCTTGTCATCCTGTCTCTACCATATTTTCCATCTGTCTCCTTTCTTCATCTGTCACAGACACATGTGTCTGTCTCCTCAGATTTTCCTTGTGCCTCTGTGTCCTGTTCTTCATCTGTCTCTGGACATGTGTCTGTCCTGGGCTGTGTCTGGGCCTTGTGCCCTCTCTGGGCCCTGTCTGTCCTTCTGTCTCCTTGGTTGTGTGCCTCTGTCTCTGGGACATGTTCCGTGTGTGTCCTCAGACATGTGCCTGTGTGTGTGTCAGACCTGTCCATGTGTGCCATGTGTCTCCTGTGTGTGTGTCTCTGTGTCTGTGTCCATGGGTCCTGTGTGTGTGCCTCTGTGGGTTTCCTCCTGTATACCTCTGTGTGTGTGTGTGTGTCCTGTCTCCTCGGGTCTCTGTGTCTCCTGTTCTGTGTCACGTGGGCCTGTGTCTCTCTGTGTGTGCTGTGTGTCTGTGTGTCTGTCCTGTGTTGTGTTTCTGTGTGTGTGCCTCTGTGTGTGTGTGTGTGTGTCTGTGTCTGTGTCTCTGTGTGTGTGTCTCCTGTCTGTGTGCCTCCTGCATGTGTCTGTGTGTGCCTCTGTGTCAATGTGTGTCTGTCTCTGTGTCCTGGTGTGCCTGTGTGCCTGTGTGTGTCTGTGTCTTGTGCCATGTGTGTGTCCGGGTGTCTCCGTGCATGTGCCTCTGTGTCTGTGTGTGTGTGCTGTGTGCCTCCTTGTGTCTGTGATCTGTGTGATCTGTGTCACCTGTGCCTCTGTCTGTCCGTGTCTGTGTGTGTCTCTCCTGTGTCCTGTCTGTCCATGCTCTGTCCGTGTCTCTGTGTCTGTGTCCTTGTCTCTCTCCATTTGGGTCTGTCTCCTGGGTTGTGTGTCTGTGTCTGTGGTTCTGTTTCCTGGGTGCATGTGTGTGTGTCCATCTGTCTCCTATGGGCCTGTGTGTCTGTGTCTATAGACCTTGTCTGTCCTGTAGACCTGTGTGTCTGTCCATGTGTCTCCTGGGTCTGTCTCCTGTGTGTGTCTGTGTGTCTGTCTCCTGGGTCCTATGGGCCATGCCTGTCTCCTGGGTGTGTCTGTCTCTCTGTGTCTCCTTGTCCTTCTGTGTCTGTGGGTGTGTGTGCCTGTGTCTGTGTGTCTCCATAGGTTCTGTCCTGGACTATGTGTCTGTCTCCTATGGGACTGTCTCCTGTGCCTCCATTTGGGTCTGGGATGTGGACTGTCCTGGATGGTCTCCTGGACTTGGTGCCCTCTGTCTCCTATGAACCCCTATACACATGTACCATCTGTCTCCTTTGGAAGCCCCTATACACATGTACCCATCTGTCTCCTATGAACCCCTGTACACTTGTACCCTCATCTCCCTATAGACCCCTATACATGTACCATGTCTCTGTGGAAACTACTATACACTTACATGCCCTCTGTCTCCCTATGAACCCCTATACACATGTACCATCTGTCTCCTATGAGCCCTATGCACATGTACCCCTCTGTCTCCTATAGACCCCTGTGCACTTGTACCCTCTGTCTCCTATAGACTATACACATGTACCATGTATGTGTCTCTCCTGTGAACTACTATACACTTGTACCCTCTGTCTCCTATGAGCCTATGCATGTGCCATCTGTGAGACAGACATCTATCTCAAGTGGTATTTTGACATGTTTTCTCTTGTCTTCTATTTGTCCCGTATATTCTTGTACCATCTGTCTCCAGTAGGCAGCTATACACACATGTTACCATCCGTCTCCCTGTGAACTGCTGTACACATGTACCATCTGTCTAGTGTAGACTACTATACATGTACCATCTGTCTGCGTGTAGACCCCTATACACATGTACCATGTCTCCTGCAGAGCAACTGTACACTTGTACCATATCTTCTGTGCAGGTTATTCTGGGCTGACTACTTCCCAATTGGCCCAGCACGGTGACCTTCTGTGCTCCTTCTCCACCAATGGAATAGGCTGTGGGTGTCCCTGCTGGAGAAGCCTACACTGAAAGTCATGGTGGATATAAACTTCAGAGTTTCCAACTCTGTATGTAGGAGTAGATGTATCTTTAGGGGTTTGTTTGTTTCAAAGGCAATTAGGTCAACTAAATGGAATGATGTATTGCAGCATTTTGAAAAAATACATAACACATATATTTAGTTGTCTTGCTTGTTAGTTTTGTGAATTTGGCTTTCAACATGATTGATTCTGTGATTAGTGTAGATATGATTTGTTATTTAACATTGTTTCAAGACATTGACTTACATGCCCTATTGGGATGGATCCCGGAGAGAGAAGTGGCTATCCAGACCAGGCAGTCAGGAGTTTGACAAGGACCGTGAGTTCAACTGTGACTCCTGGGCACAGCTACAAAGGACTGCTGTCCTGATAACTGGCAACTGGGGAGATGTCAGAATCTCATGCTGAAAAGGCTGGACTAGTGCAACACATGCCTATGCCATGTTGGATAT